AGAGCCTGTGGCAGGAGGACACCTTGCCAGAACAAAAGCTGCGGCTTTCGTTGCCGGACACTGTGCTCCTGCAGGATGGCCACCTTTTGCATTGGTTCTTCACCAGTGCGAAATCTGGCAACATACTCAAGGTGTGTACAATTCTTGCATTGGTGGTGTCAGAGTACGTGGCATCTCCGACGGGGTTTCTTCGACGTGTCGCACTTTTCTCTGCTGTGGTGTAGCAAGCGATTGGCACCGAACGCGACCTTGGGTAGATCCACAGCAGCAGCACAAGAAGTCCTCTGCAGCCCGGTAGGCTTCTTGCCACGAGCCAAAGTACATACATCTTGCACGCATCTTTGTAAGTTTTGTTGTTAGGCTGGATTCTTCTTCCGCAAAAAGAGCAAGTTCTCTCTCGTGTATCCTCGTCCAAAAATCGTTCAGCGCGCGACCAAGCGGCTGGAATGGGATGAGTTTCTCAAGTTCCTCGTTCGTTGCGCATCGAGCACCACGAGCAAGGGAAAACACACCAAGGGTCAAGCCCCGCACACAACATCAGGAGATATCGTCGCCACAGCACGAAGACTTAGAGAAGGGCGTACGTATCCCGTGATGTTGACAGCCCGCGATGTGATTTCGCTCCGGGAGAAGCACAACGCACACCTGTTAGACGAGATCGTGGCGATACAACCCTTCGTGGCCAAGGATCCTTTCACCGGATGCGGCGTTTTTGAAACAGAGTTCGAGCGAAAGGGACAGAACAACCATACCACGCAGGCGGTCGTCGCGACGTATGAGCTCCTGCGTTGGCCGGAGAGCGACGTGCACTGGTTCGGAGACGTCGATGAGTTTTCTGTTGCCAACAGCAGCCAACGAGACGGAAACAGCTTTGCACCGCAGCGCGCAAGGGATGGTTCTGCGAAGCGCGTATACGGCGTGATTCATCGAATGCTCGCGGCGACAACCAAGCGGATCATTGAGCACGTCGAACGAGCGGTGGGTTAAAATAGATCTAGCCTAAATTCTCCATTCCGGCCGTAGGATACGATGTGCTGGTCGCCCGGCACTCGATTGAGTGTGCCCGAGGCAAGGATCTGGTGAATGTAGAAAGGTGGGCACCGCCGAGCGAGGTGTTTGGTCGTGTGACCCGGGATCAGAAACTTTCAACCGGGACGAACTACAAGCGACCCTTAGATAAAGTAGCACCACGTGGATGAAAAGCATTTATTTTATTTGAGGAAAGCTGTGCTGCCTTCATACAGGATTGTCCCTGATCAGGTGATGAATAGATACCGCCATCTCTATGGATCCTTTAACGCTGCGTGCAAGTAAAAAAAGGAATGTCCAGCTTTACGCCCCCTTGATCAACGAACGGTTGCCTGTCCCACCTTCTTCGAAACATTCAGACCGGAGAGATAATCCTGACAGTCGTTGCTCAGTTCGTTTTCCGGCCGGGCACCGGTCAGCCAACGCTCCTTTGGCTAGACTCCGTCCGTACGGTGAACTCTAAGCAGCAGGTCAACGATCGCGCTTGGGTGGAGTTTGACAACGACCCGAACAGCAAGTTCATGCGGCTCACGCAAGAGTTGGGAGAGGGTAATCGCTCGTGGACAACATTTTTCCCTCCGAAGATTGGAGATATAGTGTCGGGCCGGACAGGGACATCGGGGAATATTGGAGCCAGTCTATCTGGGGGTAGTACACGATCAGCGTACCCGCACAACAAGAGGAGGACAAGCGCATCGCCGGCGACATGCCATCGATCCAACGAGGTATCACCAGGAAACAATAGCAGGGAGAGCTCTTCGTCTTGTGTCGCGCAGGATGAAGTAAGAGGTATTAGGGTGCTTGATTCTGCCGCAACAGCGGGTGTGGGCGATTATGGTGGGGGCGTCATTTCTCAAGATCAGGACCCTGAACGTGAGCCACGCAGCGGTTTCTGTCCTGCTGGTCGCTACCGTCACACCGGTGATGCCCAAAATGAAAACTTCACATTGCCTACAGAAGCTTGGGTGCATCATCATCGCTCGGCTCGACCAAGGAGGGACCGTTCCTCCTCCGAAAACAAAGGTGAAGGCACCGAGGAGCTATCTCTGAAGGAGCACTGGCCTAGGAAGAGGTCCACTGGAACAACCATGAGAACCACAATTTGGCGAGATGGTTTCCGAAATAGATCGGAATACTTGAGGAGTGTGGCTGACCGTCAGCGCCCATGGACGTGTCCCGTCAGCCGAACAGGCGGGAAGGGGTGAGCACGATCGCTTCTTTCGCGTTGTACTGTTACGAGTCTCCATCATTGACGACATGATGACCGTCGGAGGACATTTATTTGCCTTTCACTAGAGCAACACTCTAAACAGCCGTTCGTTGTACATGCACTCATCCTGCCCTTTCTCCTTCGGTCAAAACAGTTATCAATCGCACATACATGTTTCTTCTACCCAATACCGACAACGTTCGTTCGAGATCAAAACGGGTCTTCGCGGTATGAAGACTGCAATCCATCTGATACCCACTCCATCCTCGTATTGTCAGCCCGCCCTGACATCCTACTACTACGTGATACTGTCTTTCTATGTCGCGCGATAGATGTTTCGGAGACTACTGCCACTACAAGGACGCGTGGTCCCCCAACCGCAGCAGCGGCAGCAGCAGTAACGGCACCCGCGCAGCCGGTGAACGAGGAAGCTGCCGTGGAGTCAACGACCAACACAACGAAACAAATAGTTCCCCCATCTCCAAGGTGGTGTCTTTCAGGTCGATCTTGAAAAGTAGGGCTGAGGAGAAAGCACTGTCTGCCTGGTCATTATCATCCCCGTCTGCACAAAATCCAAGAGTGAAAGCCAAGCTCGGGACCGGCGGGTGCAAAGGAGAACGGGCGCACCTCCCCGTCCTGGGTGGCTTCGGCGAGGGTGGCGGACACAACAGACAGGTGACCGGGGGAGTCCTCAATTAAAAATCAGTTAGTTCACTGCCGCCAGCCTATGAAACAGTTGGGGGGGTGCAACGCTAGCATTGATTGGTGATCAGGAGGCACCACACCATACCGACCGGTGCTCCAACGTGTTCGTTCATTGTTAAGCTTAACGTAAGTTAGTTGAGGTTTTTCCTGCCCACGGGGTGGAATCATTCCATAGAATTGGCCAGTTGGAGCGGTTCTGTGCCGATATATGCTGAAATGGGAATCGATTGCCAAGTTACCTACTGGACGATACCCACATGTGATGTATGTAGGTTGTTTTTTTTTAGTGTTGCCTACAGAATGCTTGTTTTACACGTACGTTGAAAATTGTTCAAGTACTGGTACATGTAGTAGTCTAGACCTTTCGGTTCATACATGAAGTAGGGAAACAATACATTTTATTTCATGACGGCTCTCCTGCGTTGACGAGGCGGGAGCCAGGATGGCCTTCCAACCCATCGCCATTCACCTCTTCGGCATGCGACAGTCTGTGACCCAGCTCTATTATTATTGTCGCCATTCACTCATCAGACGCAGAGAGGGAACAAGCCAAGCTTGGCGTCGTTGATTGCCGAGCGAATGCGACTCCTAGCCGCTGGCCTCAGCGATCGCGGGGGTGGGCAGTACTTTAGTCTCCGCTCGTCCGACCGCTCCACGGCCGGGGCACCGGAGGTGACACAACGAGCTGTCGAGGAACTTCTCTACGAGGAACCGCTCAGTCACTTGCACCCGACAACAGCCACTCGTGCGGTGACGGTTTGCGACACCTGTGCCATGGTGAGACAGCGTGAATATATATGCCTTCAGCGAGGGAAAATACATCCATTGTTTAGTACAGCAGTAGCAGCTTCGTTTGCCTCATTGCCTCATTTCGCTCGAGCATTACGACGTTTACCTCGACAAATCGATTTCGATATCCATCCATCAATCCGGTGGCTGATCGTCCGTTCATTTTTCGGCTTCGTTCTACGGCTGGCTGTTGAAGGTGTACGGTTACATGGACACATTCCGGGCGCAGACCAAGCAAATCAAGGCCGCCTCAAGCGAAAGTAATCGATTGGCGCGCGTAGCCCTGTCGCGAGGACTGCGCGATCGGAGCCAGCCTGCTCCAGTCAAGCCCGAAGACGAAGGCCACGCGCAGCCTCTTCGTCGATACAGCAACCTCAATCTCGAGATTACGCCCGACCATCCCGTGCCGAAACAAGGAGCAGTGGCACATCGGACGCCTATGGCCACAATAAATCAAGGGCAAGAAGCTGGAGCTAGGACGTCAAAGCGGATTTGCGAGATTGCGGCAGAACACGAAGAAGACCATGACCCAGTTTGCATGACGGGCAAAGAGGTGCAAGGGAAGGGAGATGGTACCAACAGAGGTTGTGGTGGTGGATGTGGGTTACAGGACGCCAAGCGTGCCTTCCGTGTATGACAGCAACATGCATGCAAGATAGTTGTACCGTACGATGCGGCACCAATTCAATCAGTGCTACATAGGTGTAGTGACAAATGAAATACTGGGTGGCGTGGATAGTCATAGATACCAGATAGTGTTATGACTCCATCGAAGAAAAACTTGCCCGGAAGTGTTGGAAAACATCTGTGCCCACGGCTGCAGTCTAGTTTCGCAGTTCTCGATCTCTAGATAGGTTGCCCGTGCCTCCAATCCTTCGGTTTCCATTCCTTTCGTTTTGCTTTTTTTCTTGTCGCCGGACCGGATTTATCTGGTCCAGAGACATATACATAGATGCTTTTATCTGCAGACAACAGGCGGCGCTGAATTGAGACACGCGCTTCTTGTTCTTGATAGTTTTGTCAATCTCTTTACATACATAGCCATCCGGCTTGATGCTGCGGGTACGCCCCATGGGCAAAGACAAGCCGAGAAGGTTCCGAATCTTCCCACTGGGTTTCGCTTTCCTTCTTTCTCGGCCGGTAGTGACGTGGAACGTTTTCCTTCGGAACTGAGACACTTCCTGCGAAAAGCAACAGTCTGTGCACTACTGAAGACGCGCCTTGTGCTGGACTTGTTGCAAATTGTTCATCTGTGCTTGGTAACACTGAAACTCGACACGTATATTCTTGATGTAACGGGGGGGCTTCAGGAGAGGCAGACTGCTCACTCCTAGAAACTTACCACCTCTCAGTTGCTTCTTCTAACGTGCATTCTCTCCAAAGTGTTGCATCACATTGTATTTACATACCGACCACAACAAGTCACACGCGCCACTTTTGATGGACCATGGGCGTTCCTCACACCAAAACGGAGTATCACAGGTATCGGAGCCCAAACTGCCACCCCTGCCTCCAGAAAAACGTCACGCAAAATCGCTCTCAACAACATGAATGGCCGATCACACCATGCCAAGAAACATGGAGCAACACGGAGCTGCTACATACTTGTGCAGCCAATTCCTTGCCACCCAAATAAAAGGCGTTATCCTACCGCCGTGACGCCAGGAACCAAACAAACACGAAAATTACACAAAAACTACATCCGGTGGGATAGTTACAATTGGGGGACACTAAATGAATATCACCCCCGCGCGCTGAACGCTACATTTCACGCGCCCACTTATCATGCGGATAAAACGGAAGTATCTAGTCGTTTGACCCGCGGTAGACACAATAATCATTAACCATCAAAATCACCTGTAGAGCAACAACAAACCCTTCGCACCCAAAAAAGCAAAGACAGATGAGACTTTACGACGTGACACCGATTAAAGGCAAAAGCAATACAACGAGGATCTAGTGCTGCAGCGTCCCTGCCTCACACTCCTACCACGACGCTTGCCGTACAGTAGTCAAACCGACCGATACAGCCGAAAAGTTAACCGCTAAAAAGAAGATCTCGCAGCCACCGCTTGGGTTGTGCTCTTGATCTTCATCCAGCCAAAGACGCCACGTATTCGGTGGCCTTGGCTTTGACGGCGTTCACACGGGCCTCGTCGCCGTGCTCCATCTCGAACTGAAGGTACTTCTTAAACACCCCCTTCATTCGTTTCGCATTGAAGTCCATGCCCGTCTGCGCAAGTGAGAGGAAAGACACACAATGACCAAGGTGTGATTAAGGGAAATACAAATACTGCTAGTTGTTTTTCGCTCTTAGTCTTACATAATGTGGTATACTTTACTTTCGAAGTATAGGACTTGGATCAGGCCTCTAGTGCTGGGAGGCCGGAGGTCCAACCCTTCTCCGTTTTCGTGTACAATACAGCATTCTTCACTGCTCCTGGACAGCATGGCATGGCTGTGTTACCCCTCCTCCACTTCGGGAGGAGATGCTGCCAGGAGATGCCAGGAACTCGTGTATTCTAACTATTGCAACCCAACCCTACACCGGGGGGCAGCCAAGACCGCTCGCTTCTTGCCACCCAATACAATACTTCGCGCGTTCCTCCCGTGCTTCACCACGTCACGCTTCTTAATCACGGGGCACATGATCGACTTGAAGCGCGTTCTTTCGTGAGGGTAGCAAAAGTCGCGTTTCAAGGCCAGCGTGTGTGCCGCGGTCAAGAGCCCTACTAAGTCAAGCACGGGAGGGAGGGACGTGCGCCCAGTATTGACTGTGGCTGGCATGAAGAGGTGTGTGGCTGACGATCAATTTTTGGCAAACGCCAGTTTGCGTTCGCCGTCGGCGGGTTAGGATATCGGCTTTTTGACGTCTCTCTCCCTCTCTTTGTCTAAAGTCTTCGATGATGTAGAGTTTTTCGCGGAAAGGAGAATCATGAAACTCGCTAGTATTAATATTCCAATTGAACATGCTATCTGGCAGACGCTCGTGATAGATAAACATGCTTGGGGAAGTATGTGGCCACGATATTGCGGGTGACATCATCGAAAGACAGCGGCACAATTCTGGAGCACCACGGCGCATCTTCGAGTTTTGGCGTTCACACATGAGACATACCCCTCTTGCTTCCCCCTCTTCACCCGCACCCCCGAGAGCTCAACGTTCAAATGGAATGGAATGTAGTGTATGGATGCCTACGGCGGAGAATCAAGAGACAAATCTTCTTGAGCGTTGAACGTACACTGTAAACAAAGTCGCAGATGCAAATAGCAATCGCCGGGAAGACTGAGGTTTGATGGGGACTCACGTGAGGCAACCGGCACTCAAGGTGAAACACGCTACATAAACCCAACAGCATCACTACACCGGCCTGTTGTGCACTCGACCGACGGATGGAAACTCTGCACGCGAGAGGCCTAGACTACGAGTTTTCTATGCATACATGCACGGAATACAAGGCCCACATCCACATGACAGTTCCCTCACCAATCGCTCCAGCAGATTCCTCGCCGCCCTCAGGTCTCCAGCCTTCACCTCCTTGTCGAAGTACACGTTCCACAGATCCAGGCGCTTGGGGTAGGACGCCATAAGGCCCTCGAACACCGAGCGACCCCGCTCCACCGACCCGTGCTCAAACTCGTTTTGAGCGAACCTGTAGGCACAATTTACATCACATTTACGTACAGTATGAGGCGTTTTGTAAGCGTGAGGTGCAACATCTATCAAGTCGTGTGGACACGCCAATAGATCATGCCCCTATGACAATGGGTCATGATTCGCGGATTAGCGGTGCCACTTGGGCGATTGATCAGTGACATCGACTTGCCAGTCCTCGTCGCACTACACTTACCAACCACTTGGCTACGGTACAGCCACAACATATCTGGAATCATGATGAATGCGCGAATTCCTGTCGGATGACATGGAAGAATGTACCTCGAGATGACAGAGACGTGCTTGTGCCTAGCCAGGGACTGCAGGCTTCGCTTGAGTGCCTCTCGAGCACCGGCGTCGTCCCCTCTCTTCAGTCGCGACAGCTGATACGCTACCCACACCTGACCACAGAAACATTTCATGGCACAAGAGGCAGCGTCGCATGAATGAATATGGAATGAAAAACTACTTGTGCAGTCACTGGATGGACGTTGACAATGGAGGGCATCGACGCGGCGGTTTGACAATGGAGGGCGCGACATACATGTACAGTATGAGCACAGAGTAGCCACGACCGAAGGGTCGTCAGGTCTACTGTACAATACCGTACTGTAGAAAAGCAGTGGCCTAGCCGTCAATATTGATATCGATGTCTACTTGACCCAGCAAGAGAGAGGCAACAAGCTCCCCCATTGCGAATGCAAGCTGCCTGGCGGCGAACTGGGTTGATGAAGAAAAAACAATCTGTGGCAAGAATACGCATACATCTGGCAAGGCAATCTCGAACGTTGCAAGTACACCGACCTTCTGGGAATGTCTGAACTTCTTCACGGCTGCCTGGAAAACTTCTTCGCATTCCTCGCTCTCCTGAGCCTTCTCGTGCATCTGGAGACCACCGTAACGGCAAAAAAAAAACGAAGGTGCACGCATACTTCGCTAATCGATCGCACACACGTGATGCCGAAAAATAATACATTCAAGGATGGGAATGACACGATACGATACCCACGAGGCCTCAACACACGCGATCGACGTCACACACGCCAGCACTAGAATCGAGGTATCGGATGTACAAAAGAAGAAGCGAACAGCTCACTGTGTCCTGTGAAAACGGGGTTGTCCTTTCTTCACCGCAACTTTTTCTAAAAAAAAAACACAATTTCGGGCGGTGTACTCAAGCCGGCACGTCTGAGGTGCAACACACACATCAACACCAACAAATTATTGCCTTCACCTCAAGCCTACTACGTGGATTACCATAACGATAAAACACGCGGAACACCCCTTGCAGCAGAGTGCTGCCGCGCCTTGTTTCTAACGTACAGTCACTTGCAGTAGGATGCTGCCGCGCCTTGTTTTTACGTACAGATGCATCGCTTATATACAGCAAAAAAAAATACAATAAAAATCACCTCTGCCATGTGGAGGTAGACCTTCTTGGGGTTGCTGTTCTGGCAAGCTCTCTCCGACACGGCCTTGAGGGTAGAACGACTGCCGTACTTGTGCTCGAGGTTGATCAGAGAGACCCACAGGTTGAACCGCTCTTGCTCCTCTCGGAAAGACACCGCCTTCAACCCTCTCTCGCACACCGCACGAGCACCCTGCATGTTGTACAAATTTACAAAGGTGCCACGACCAGCCCCAGTATATGCAATGTGCACGACGGCAAAGCGGTGATACCGTGCGGCGGGTGGTGGTGATGATGTATGCTATAAAGAGCACGTTAGAATTACACTTCGGACTAGCGAAGACTCTATTGCAAAATAAGCAAGCACATGTAACAAATATCGACTGTTTCTGAAAATCAAAGAAATTGTGCACAAAAAGGTCCATTCAGAGCGCCGACAATGTCTCAGGGTTAGGGCCATAACTCTACGATAAAAAAACACTAGAAACAGACAATACTTGGCACTCGAGGCAACACCAAGACTTTGAGCAAAGGCAACGGCACACAACATCGAAAGGCCACTGGCGGAAAGCGGTCTCGAATTTCCTTCGACACAAACAATCCGAACAAAATTGCAAAAAATCAACAAGAAATGTACCAGTCGACAGGTCTTACCACGCACGAAACCCCTCCAAGTCACAGGACGATTTTTCGTCCACCAACGTGAGGAATGCGGGGCAGGCTTTTAAAACTGGCGGCAACCTCATTGGGTTATGATTCATTCTTCGGGTTCATGACACCCCTCGACAACCTCGCGCTCCATCCATTTTGGACGGAAGGCGAAAACATTCGAGGGGCAACGCCTGCTGAGACCCGTGGAGTCCTTCAAACCTTAAACCACGACAACAGCATTTGACGGATTCAAAAGAAAACTAGGTGTGTGAGGTGAGCGACTGCTTGTAGGGCACTGCATTGTACCAATAGCAAACTCACCTCAACGTCAGCGAGGGAGAGTTTGAAGGCCATGAACTTGACCCACAACAGGGAGTCATTTGGCGTCGCCACCAGAAGCCTCTCGTAATCGCCAGCCGTCTCTGGTGCCGCATCCTGAACCGCACAGCATTAAAAAAATAGAAGAAACCAACCATTTAGCAACCCGTTCAAGTCTCGTTCGTCACGTCATGAATGCACGGCGAAGCACATCCTTATGTAAAAAAAAAACAAAATGCCCCGGAACATAGAATGACGGCCGGAAGGTATGTACAGCGGAGGCAGACAGACCTATCCTCTGTTCTATATCGCAGCACTCGGCCCATAGCTACACGCACGAGACATGAGACGAGACGCGACTTGTTGAAATCAGTCGGCAGTGGACACGCGTCACGCGCCTTGACAGCACCAGCGTTTACGCAAGTGCCGACGCGCGCTCTCGCGGTCGTTGGTTGTAGTGCTACTCATATCGTTTAAAGGGCCACAAAAGCTGCAGGACCATCCTACCACCGCAGCCGATCGCCTCGACCAACTCCTTGAAAGACAGCCGCCCTGAAGCGCCAGCCGCGCGACGCAAGCCGCAATCGAAAAGGTAAGCCAGCGCGACAAGCAACTGAATCAACGGGGTTGTCCATCTCGTTGACCGTTGCTTGTCAGTCTGGCTTACCTTTTCGATTGCGGGTGATGTCGCGTGGCTGGCGCCCCAGGGCGGCCGTCAATTTGACCAGTTGCCGGGGGCGATCGGTCGCGGCGGCGCGCTGGTCCCGCAGCCCATTTAATGGCCTTGGCGCAACTCTGCTCCCGGTCTCGTCGTACCAATTCCCGCGCATTCTGCGTGGCGGCGGCCTCGTCGTCCCGCGGGGTGTTTCCAGCTCCAGCGACATTATCAACAGCACCTACAAGTGCTGTGAGTATTATTTACCTCGTCTTGCAGGGCTCGTTCCCTAGCGGCGATGCGGTCCTCCTCCTCTCTCCTCTCCTTCGCCTTCTTGCGAGATCGGTGACTCTTAGTCCTGCAGAAATCAACAGCAATCAACAGCAGAGCACGCCGTAAGGCCATGAAGGATGGCGGATGAAGGATGAGGCATGTCATGACGGGACAAGACACGGCATGTGCTAATGATGCTATTAATAGTATCGGGAGAGCAAACAGGAAGCGTGACAGCAGGAACTGCGGTACGTGCTGCTGCTATGACACCTTCAGCGTGTGAATACCGTCTATGACACAAGATAACACACCCCGGTGATAATATTTTGGAGTTTGAAAATATTACCTTCGGGTGTGGTATCATGTGGGGGGTGTGTTATCTTGTGTACCCCGGGTGATAAAGTGCAGCTCGCAGGGGCCCCTAAGGGGGTGTGATAAATCAGGGGGGGTGATAGCGCGTCCGAACACCCAAAGACGGGGGTGATGTGCTGTGGCGCTTGCGCTGCTGTCGAAGCAGTTGTCGAAGGAGCAGAGGTACTTGTGGCTGCCTTCTGCTCAGCCTGCACGTTCATGTTGTTGGGGGTCTCCATGCGGGATGTTTCCCCTCACACAGCTGACATGGTTGTGTGTGTGATTGCCCAGGGCAGATGCTGTCAACCCGGTGATAAAGAAGGAGGGGCCCCGTGACTATATGCGGCGTACATGTAACCAAAAATATCTCATGTACCCCAGGTGATAAATCGATGGTTTGTCAGAAGCGCCCAAAACTATCACCGGGGTGTCGTATTCTGTGGGGGGGGTGCTTTCTGATGTAGGTGTGTTATCTTGTGTCATGTACGGCACTTCAAAGTGTAACCACGGCCCCAGAAGCACGTCATATTAATCTACCATATACCGCATCTTGCAACAAGCCAGGCAGCGAGACTTCGCGCGCCAAGTTTCAGCTAGTAACTACAATCGACAGATTTCGATGTTTTCGAACTTCCCAAGTTAACCTACATCTCACAAAGGTGAGTCATAGCTTCAACATCGTCCCCACAACACATCACCCACGACAAGTCATCCCATAAACGCGCACAAGTTCATTCATTTGAATAACACGAATAAAAAAACAGCTGTTCCCAGACTCACCCCGATGCACCCCCATCCTGATCGCTGCCGTCGTCTTCGTCGCTGTCTTCGTCCTCATCGCTGCTCGCGCCGGCACCGCCCATCGAACTAACCAGGTCCCCGAAGTTAAGACAAAAGGCGTTAGCCCCGCCGACTTTCTCTCCCCCCAGACCCCCACCCAGGACACCACCTTTTGCTCTCTTGGACGCCCTCTCGCTCTCATCGTCATCGCTGTCTTCACTCTCTTCTTCCTCGCTATCATCCTCATCCTGATCTTGCTCGCCTTCGTCATCGTCCGACACTTCCATCGCCGCTGCTGCCACCATGTCGTCGTTCTCATCGCTGCTTTCTGCCTTGTGGCCATCGTCCACGTCTTCACTCCCGTCTTGGTCCGATCCGCTGTCGTCTGAGTCGCTGTCCGGATCGTCTTCGAAATAACTTGCTTTCAGACCGAGGCTCACGCGCTTGTTGTTTTTGTTCACCTGTGATCCAAAAAAGTTATCGTTACATGTAATAAGCATCGGAACGACATTATTCTTGCAAACTATGTAATATCATCTATAACGCTGCGCTTCTTCTTCATAACATGCATGTGCTGCACGACACGGACGCCGCGGCTGCAACACGGAATGATCTTGGAGGAAATGGGAGAGAACTACCATGTCTACACAATCTGTACTTGTAAGCATTCGTCGTGCGAACACCTGCACTTGGTATCGTGCGCTGTACGTTTAACTCTTCATTCACTACCGACACTAGAACAAGGAGGACAGCTACAACCAGGCATGCTGGGTTCAGCCTCATACTGAGCCACATACGCCGCACACCAACGATACAACAACGAGAAGGACAGATACAACCAGACAGGCTGTGTTCAGCCAGACTCCATCCTAACCCTTACCTTGAGTACGACGGCCTTCACAAGGTCTCCCTCGTCGTAGACTTGGGTAAGGTCGTCGATGGTTTCGTCAGCAGCCTCAGAGCGATGACACATCCCTCGCACCTACAAGAAACCAAAAACGAATCAACATGTTCACGACGCCAAATCGGGGTCAAACACACAACTATTAATACACAGTCCAAACGACACGGCACATGACACGAACATGGCACAAAAACAAAATGCAACGGAAGCCTCAGCCTGCCCCAAACAAGTAACACCCCTGCGAATTTCCAGTTGGATCTGACACCATCAAGAGGAGAGAATGGGGTAGAGGGGGACATGCAACAGTGCCGAGTACTTGTCACATCGAATCGCAGCAGAGAGTTAAAAGTGGCACGATCAGGTGTTTCGATGGAACTCTGAAAAGAAAGGCCAGCGCCACCTACCCGCAGACAGTGCCCATGAACCAATCACCATGCTGTACTGCTGGGTCAACCGCTTCCACCGCAAGTATGCATACTTCATTGTACTCGTAGCATCGACCGTGACATCATCACCTTCGAGTCGTGGATCTGGATGAACACGCCGAAGTCCTTGACGGTATCCACCGTGCCCTTCACCTTCAGCCCTGGCTTGAGAATCTCACTAGACCACGTGAGTGCCCCTCCCTCGCCTCCAACCACGTCGGACGGCTTCAGGGACAGCGACACCCGCCCCGTCTCCTTTTCCTGCGAAGCGAACAACAACGAACGAAAGAAGCAAAGCGGTAGGGGACAAGCAAAAAGGAAACGGCGTCGTGAATGAATTATTCTTTCCCACACCAACGCCAACAGTAAGGGGAAAGGTTTCGATCAACTCTGGGGACGTTGGTTTTGCAGCTACCTCTCACGTCGCACCTGCGAGCCAATGCAATCAAGCTACTATTTCATACATCACCTGATGCCTACGGGGCGACTTGGAATGGATGCCTGAGACCAAAGAGGAAGACGAGACCCGTCATAGGTATTTTGGGAATGGCTGTTGTCATCCGTTAGGATCAGGGGATTAGCTCTGATAATTCAGGTAATCAGCCGGGTCTCGGATTTCTCTTTCTTTCTGTCTTTCGGCTCCAAAATTACTAAAACAACGACGCGCAAAGGTAGGCTCGATCCACCACACAGTCGCTGGACATTTGTCTGCATGTACATGCATCCCGTGGCACATAATTGTTAAACCGCCACGCAGACAAAACACACAGAGCATCAATCCTAAGGTTATTTCCAACAAGCTAGACTACGCATACCGTACAATGCTACGGGGCACAGGGTGTATTCCCGAAGGTGCAACCACGATCACCGAACTAAGCGTCAAAGAGGAGGACAAGGGTTACGCTAATAGCCATTAGATGGCGCATCCAGCCACCAGTGCAGCAGGCAACACGCACCACGTTTCTCCCACATGACGACTACAAAGACAACAGCGAAAAAAATCGAGGGAGAAAAAACATACCAGCTCTACGGACATGCCCATCGCAGTACTGTCCGTAAAAAAGTAATGGTGCTAAGCAAGTACGTTTCGGGTGGAAAACGTCTGAGAGAAGTTGGCGGCCCGTCATAGATATTTTGGGAATGGCTGTTGTCATCCGATAGGATCAGGGGATTAGCTCTGATAATTCAGGTAATCAGCCGGGCACTCAACTATTTCAGATTCCAGTCGGTCACCCATCCATGTACAATACTTTTATCACACTTTGCGTGCGTGCACTCACACAAAGAGCATGCTGGACACCCACCGTACCGGCACAACTCAGAGCATCGTGAGCACCATCAGGACAGCCCGTGTGCGAAAAAGGTCAAGAGGTTGTCGAACCGACAAAATCGAAGGCGGGGGGTGGGCGGGGGAAGAACTACGTCACAACACACCATGTAGATTTTCACGCAACGCCGATTCGTGGCGAAATCGACCGTCCCCCAACGATCACCACCCGTCCAAGTCAAGCAACTGATAAAGGGTACATGACACAAGAACGCCCATCGCGTGACGTAAACACAGTCCTGACTGTACAGCCACCGAAACGCTCACCTGGGCAAGAACTTTCCCTGCGACAAGTTTCCCCGCAGGGAACTCCTGCGCTGGGTCGGAGACGAATCGGTCTGACAGGTGCTTGAGTAGTACTCTGCCGGACACGCCTCCGTTGAGGATGACGAAGCAGCCCGACTTGCTGGTTGCCACGACGTAGCACTGTCATCACATTTGTTTGAAATCGATTGCACACACGGGTTGGAAAAAGGTGCCGGGTTGTTTAAGCCGGTCTGTTGTCCGATAGCAAAAGAATAATGGGTTGAGTAGTAGCTGTGCATGAGTGGATGGTCAGGGGCGGTGTGTAGCATCGAAATGTGGCAACAAAGGCAGACAACCAAGTTATGGGCACTGCTAGACGAGAAGAAGGCCCGTTTTCTTTTACGCCCAACATCTCACGTGCCAGCCAATTTTTTCCTCAGCAGGCATCCCCATCTACGTTGTTGAAAAAAACAAAAAAAAAACGGAAATCTGCCTCGAGCCAGCCTCCACGTGCCCACAGCAAGCGGGCTGGAACCTCGTGGCGCCACCTCGCTTGACAGCGAGTACAAATGATTCTTGATATGGGCCAATCCAACACAACATTGGCATGCCCCGTTGGCATTTCCCTCTGCCTAAGCCACACATTTCAGCACCAGCCAAAACCGCCGCTGACCTTAGCGGTAGACCCCACTTTCGGAGCGGCATCCCTCTTGATGGCCTCTTTTCGCTTGTTCTTCGATGCCTCCACCCTACACGGTCGCAGCGATAGCTCCACCGGTCCCATGTAACCGTCACCCTCTTCATCGTCTTCATCGCCATCGCCAGACCGTCGCCTTCGTGACTTGGATTGCGCTTCCGTAGATCTCTTCGGGAGAGGGGGCAGCACCCTGCACTTCACGCGAGCACCATCCTTTATCCTTCGGAGTGTAAAAAGGACGAAAGGAAGGCGTCCGCGTCAGATAAACGGGCTATATACCGTACCATACCATAGTAAGGACTCTATATATTATACAAGAAGTACGTCCTGATGGAACTTATGACCATGAGCAGACACCGGAACCGTTTTCAATGTCAAAACAACGAATAGCACGTATTTTTGGGAGGAAGAGACGGAGACGGACACTAAGAGGGGACGGTGGGCGATTCGATTCATCGCCCGCATGCCATGTAGGTGTTCCCGTCTCCAGGTCGTCACTCATGTTTCTCGAGGGACATCGGCCGTGTTGATTTGACGTCATCAGAATGCCAGCCAGACAACGCAGCACAAATGACAAAGCCACCAAAAACATGAAATACAAAACAAACAGCGTAGCTCCAACGACTCGGTGGGTAGCCATTCCCATTGCCTTGTGCTGCTGAAACCATCTCCACCTGAACACATCAAGACAACAGAAACTGAACTGGAGTTGCGACACCAAGCACATGACTGAATGAATGAATGAATGAATGTCACGGGGATGTCATAGTAACCACCTTTGGAAACAGACAGAGCACACGCCGCCATTCAAGGGTAGCGCGCTCATAGAAGGGGGTCACACCGAATACCCCGTGTGGGGGTTAATCTAGCCCTCCCCGAATTGCCGCTACACATGGCCAGAGCCACACCCTCGCTATCATCCATTTTCACGAACTCTAGCAAAGGGGCTGAGGCAGGAAGCGGTGGCCGGGACTATCGCTAAGGGGAAACAATAGTCCATGGCCAGGAGGGCATTGAGGATATGATCCAAGGATCAACGAAGACTCTAATCACGCCATGTGAAAAGTACGAGGGTGAGTGAACCGGCAGTGCGGTGATACACGCCGTAAGCCGTCTCAAACACAAGTCGACACGAGTCACGTCTGCGGAATAAATAACAACCGCAATGATCCCACGCCAGCGCAAGCATGTATACAGCAGTGCACGCCGTCATCACACGTCACACCCATCCTTACCGTCCAACGGGATTGTCCTTCCAAGCCTCTTCTTCCGACAGCTCCGTCACGCACACCCTCCCGATACAGCCGCCGTCCAACCTCACCATCACGCACGGAGGGGACCACGCCTTAACGGTAAGGTCCACCCTGCCCTCGACGACATCTCCGGCATCAGGGGACTCTGACGTCAGGTTTCTCGCCGCCTTCGACTTTACATCGGCTTGGAAACCCGGGGACATGGCCGGGAGGGCTGAGTCTGGAAGCGTGTCGCGGTCGGGGACACCTGGTTCACAAACACCATCACAAGGACCAAAAGAGACACGGTCATAAGCAACGTATTCAACAGCACAACCTTATCGTTTGTATTGCACGGGTCTCGAGTCGCGTGCTTAGCCAAAGGGAAAGGCCGACACCAGCATGTGCTATTACAACTTGATATTACATCTTCGCATGGCCAAAGTCGGGGGGCAGCAGCCACCTCACGCTGGCGTCGGCCTTCGCATCGTAAATAACATCTAGCAGAGCACACGGTACAACCCTTACTCAAGAAAAAAAAAAAAAACACAACAAGTTCGGTCCCCAACTTGGCAGAGCACGCGCGAAAACACATGCATGCCAAAATTTGGTCCGTACGAGTTTTTCCCGATGTAGCAACCCTGGGCCTCATGCCTTTTATTGGTCAGTTGGTTGATGCGTCTCTTCTTAATGAACAACACATACACTAGCTTATACACACGACTTACCGACGAGAGAGAGGATGAGACGACGTCTTTCCTCTTCAACCCTCCGGACAAGAACCCGGAGTCCCATTCCCCTCTCGAAAAACTCGCCGAAGTTTTTGGCGGTGACTGTCGCGTCAGAGCTGAGTTTTGCCAATGGCACCAAGCCGCGGACCGAGTTGGACAAGGACACCAGCAATCCGTGCTCTGCGACCTCCGTGATGACACCCCTGGCATGGCAAGGCATGGCAAGGCACGGCACGGCGGTAGAGTCAGCAAAGGTCCGCAAAAGAAACGTGTTCGACTCAACTTGCGTTCGATGCCCGCAGGCATGACCCTAAAAAGATGGGAACGCGTTAGGATGTCTAGTGTTGAGACCACTGCAGCTCCTTCCAAGGCCGGGAACCACAACGAATACAATAGAAAAAACGTTACCGGCCGACAGACAGGTGTCCCACCACATCACATCGAAGGAACCGCTAAAAGCTTAACGAACAAGAAACAGGGCAAGTGCTCAGAAGTTTACCAGGTATCTGTCACCATGCACTGGCCAGAGCCAAAGGTAAGACAGGGATAACTTTTTATCGTCACTGCACTTTCTCACCAAGTCCTGCTTGTTTCAGTTTCAGTACCTTACATAGATGTTAGTGCATGTTCCGACCACAATGGTATGGGAGGAAAATTGAAGCGCCTTTTCCATGACATCAGCAGTTCCACACCAGCATCATCACAACCGCAATCTACGACACAAGCCGTCCATCCACATAATGTTGGGCGCCATTGGCCTAATCTTATGGTGCAGCCCTTGAAAAATCCATGACAAGTCCGAAGCCCACAGAGCAGTGCATTTAACAAAAATTGCGAGCGGGTCGTTGAGGAGAGGGAGTGCTCGGAAGCTTACCAGGTATCTGTCACCATGAACGGGCCAAAGCCCTTAGGTAAGACAGGGATAACTTTTTATCGTCACAGCACCTTCACCAACCTCAACCCAACGGTACCCAATACATACACTACACGAGCTTGCATACATGTGCGAGTGAGATCAACTCGGCGGGTGCTCGGAAGCTTACCAGGTTTCTGTCACCATGAACGGGCGGAAGCCCTTAGGTAAGACAGGGATAACTTTTTATCGTCACAGCACCTTCATCAACCAAAACCCAACGGTACCAAGACCTACACTACCACGAACTTGCATACATATGCGAGTGAGATCAACTCGGCGGGTGCTCGGAAGCTTACCAGGTTTCTGTCACCATGAACGGGCGGAAGCCCTTAGGTAAGACAGGGATAACTTTTTGTCGTCACAGCACCTCGCTAGCTGGTGACGATCCATGCATCGAACAGGTGCAACTGGCCCTACGTACTACCAACGGAAGGCGTTACGGGTAAGCACACAACGCCGCACCATGATGAAAACCAACCACGCCATCCCTTCAATTCAAAACAGTAATGGTGGTACACAATCGCATCCAGATTTGTACCTGTGTACTTCCCCAGCCTTGGGGGGGCACTCTCCCCACCACGGCACTGCAGGAACAGAAACAGCTTCCTCTCCTTCTCCTTCTGCTTCGCCTAGCCCCGATTGGTCGATGGTGACAGTGCCGTCCCCGTCCAGGAGTCCCAACTCGAGGAGTCGGAACACGAAGTCCGACTTGGGGTCCTTCTGAGTCATGTCCTCGAAGTGGAGCACTCGGGCTGTCAGCACTTGTCCGACGTGGAACTGACAGCATGGTGGGCAAACAAAAAAAAAGAAGCGAAGACAACAGGTTTGTCATCGAAAGCTCGGGGTGAGTCCACACTGAAATAAAAACGGTACAAAACAGTGATGAAATAATTTCATATATTGGTTGCATGCACGAAAGCATTCCATTCGCCTTTCAAGTGAGCGAGACTGCCTTCACTTACAGCAGTAACCAAGCATAAACCAACGTCTCCTACGCTCCTTGACCATGCATATCGGTTAAAACAGTGCGCATGAAAGTAATGTATGCCGTCCAATACCGCACCGCAGATGCGTACGGCAAGACAGACTACACCGATGGGCGCTAGCCCAACTGTTCTATTGACGGCCACACACACGCGGCCGCTATTTTATTGTAACAACCAACCACAGCAGACTTGCACGCAAACCCACCTTTTCCAGCGGATGCCAAGGAGGCAGGTCGGCAACGCCATCTCCGGCGGTGTCCTTCCTCTGTCGTTCCGCAGGACCATCGAGCCCCGGAAGTCCCGCCGCAGTGCAGTGGATCTTGGCTCGAATCCGGACCATTTGCTTTCGGTGTTTCTTGTCGGCCTTCGCGTCAGCCTCAGGCTCACCCTCATCCCCAGGCTTTGAACCCTTAGCCTTGGACTTGTTGGTCTTCTCTCGTCTCCTCTTCTTGCTGCCCTTGTTCGAGGTCTCCGCATCCACCGTGCCCTTGTCGTTGCCCTGCCGGATTTGTGTAGATACTTTGTCAGGAAGGAGATGACACAAACCTCGTATGCGTCCTTCTTCTCTACCTCGCACTCGAAACCGCATCAACCATGGTTTAGGGCCACGCCACCGGCGCACTGCACAGCGAAGCGCATAGCACTGCCATGGCATTCTAGATGCCTAAACATGAACAAAAAACTAAACACAACCCAAAAACGTCTGTAAAAATGAAGGAATCAACAGATTGGTATACACAACTGCATGTTAGCGGGCTCGCGGCCGAAACTCCTATGGTCAGACACCTGATCTATACAGATTCGGCGAAAGGGAGGAGTGTCGTACGCGCGATGTCGCGACGCGTCACATAAAAGACGCTTTCTGTAGCAAGGGCTCATAGACCTTCGCCCCGTGGAGCAGTCGAAGGGCGCGGCGGAGTATATTTCCTTGCATTAGCATTTGTTTGGCCAAATCACTCGGTCGGTCGGATGCCTACTTCATCTCGTGCTTGTATCTAAAAACAACACAAACAATTGTACAATTATACCAGGGCTGTATGCACTTGCACCGCCCTTTACTTCACAAAGACACTCAAATAGAGGAGTACACGGGAAAAGACAAATTGGATTTTCCAACAACGCTCTCGCACAAGCCGCAGCGATCATCAATGGCGCGCGAGCTAATGAAGAAAATATGCCGTTGCTCAAAACCGAGATTTCTCACCAAGGACGTACGCAATGATAAGGATTCATGTTTACTCGTGTGGCAACACAGCAACTGCGTACGAATTGTACGACCACCCAAATCGCTTTGTCTCTTCCCCGTAGAGTACAACCGACGGACCAGAGGGGTACCCTGAACACTACCAAATGCCGAAGTGTAGGTAAGTGGATGTCGGTTCAGTCGGAAGGTGGCCTTCTCAAGAACAACAGAAGAGACAGCAGTACACCTACTGTACCTCGATTTGATCGTTTTTCTCCGCCTCCTCCACCCCAACCTGCCGATTGCGGGCTTTACCCACCGAGGGCCCATAGCTCTTGGGATACCGGACTGCTACCTTCACGTCCAGCCGGTCCCAGTGCACGGACCGAACCTCACACACCACCTGGTTCGTTGTTGTTGTTGTCCGCCGGGGCATGCATGGGCGAGCCAGCACATCAAGAGACAGAAAAAAAATCAGTGCATCAGCGAAAATATGCCGAAAAGTTGAGCAACTAGCGAATCAGAGGCCTTTCGCGGCGTGCACAGCGACACGTGCACCAGCCGGCCCACAGATGCCTTTTTGTCAGGTAAACACGCATCTACCAGTGTTCTCTTTGAACTTACCGGACCACTCGGATGCCAATGTCAATGTCATAATGGTCCCCACGTATGCCAACAATGTGGTGCTAAACTTGGCAAACGACCCAGCGAAGAATCAAGCCGTAATCCGGCCTGGTATCGTCGTAGCTCGCCACACGTATCCAGGAGAACAGGACAAGAGAGTGCTCACCTTTGCCCCCATCTTGATCTTGCCGAGCGGAACCCTGCCGGCCTTCATAAGCGCCCCTACGTCTTGAATAGCATCCAAAGCACCGTCACCACCATTGACACCTCCTCCCAGATCAAGGTCTTCTCCCCGAGCCTTGCGACGGCTCTTCGGAACACCCAAGACAACACAAGATGAAGAGTTCGAAAAGCGAAGATACCAATGAACAACTTCAGGTACGCTAGACCAAGTATCCCGTGTGCGTCAGCATACCATAGACACACGACATAACGGTGCAGAGCATTCATGTTGTCTTGACATTAACGAAGCTGTCGGGTTATCCATTCAGCACTCTCAAGCGTCTTTTCCGGTGCAGCTGATGCGGCGACTTCGGTGGTCCCGGTGTACGTACCCAATATACCGTGTTCCGTAGGTATACACTTCAAGCACGTGATTTGTTTTGCTTGGTCCTGTGATGTGAGCTTCGAGCCTCAAGCGTTGGTAGCGTAGGTGACGACACATCTTTTGATGCGCATACCCATGGAGTTGATCTTGTGCGTCGTCGCTTGGAACAATCAATGCTAACGCATGGTCGGCTACACAACTCCAGCGATAGGCATGGTTGAAGTAGAGAAACTCAACGACCGTTGTTGCGACAAGGCTGGC